TGAATTGGTTGCAAGTTACCTTGCAGCTACTTGGTGCTACGAAAAAAGATAGCGACTTGCTATTTGTTGTTTTTTTTTATACCCTGAACCCATTGAAAATGAGAAATCAGGGTATAATGGTTTTGTTAAAAGTATGTAACAGGCAGAAGAAATCATCGCAGACCCATAAAGTATATATATATTCTTGATCAGGACGACGAGCTAAGTCGATATAGACCTGTCCGTCCGTCCGTATGAGCAAGCCGATCTCAGAAGATATAAGAGCTAGAAAGCTGAAATTTGGGATGCATACTCGTGTATACCATACGCAGTACAAGTTTATCAACTTTTGCGATAACTCATCCGATAGCTTTTTATCGAGAATAATCGAAATTCGACTTTGTTTTTTCAGCCTAATTTGAAGACTTTTAGACCTAGAGACTTCAGATTTACTGTGTATATATAGTCTATCGATACGATTTTGTAATTTACAGATTTTGGATACCACGCCCCCTTCGCCCCCTCAATTTGTAAAAAACGCATTTCAAGGGCTAGAGACTTGTGCTTTGGAATGCACACACATTTTAACTACATGATCACGCCGTAAAAGTTTCATAAAGATAGTCCATCTGCAAAGAAACTATTCAACAATTAAATTCTCATAATATTGCTGCTAACTGCGCAGTCAGCAAAGCGTGTGATTACACGTGCGCCGGGATGCGTGTGTATGCATGTGTGCATAACAGAAGTGCAGAATAAGTAGAATATCAGTTTAGAGGGTTCAGGGCATCTCCTAGTCGAGCAGTCTCGACTAGAGCCTTCTTACTGGTTTTTTGTTACCGTATTAGCTGTTCTGCGATGTCAACAACACAAAAGGGCTCATTTGATTTTGAGCAACACGGCGAAACGCCGCAAAGAAGTTTTAACACCGCAAAAAAGTGACAGAGAAAATGGAAAAATTGTAAAAGAACACTAACAAATAAATGAAATACGCCAAGTAGTTCTTAGTCTGATTGTAGTCAAATAAATACCAAAATATATTATTTCAATATGAAATATATGGTGTTTAGATGTGTGAAAAATAAGAAGTGCATATTTGGAATAAATTGAAGCAGCACAATCTGACCAATTCTCCCTTATACTATATATATATATACTATATATATATATATATATATATATATATTATATTGGATTGAGCGTAACTATGGACTTCAACGCTGGTCGCGTGCAGTATCTCCAAGCTCAATTATTTCCTATTTGCACACTAACAACATCCAGTGGAGGTAAAAATATATAAATATAAATCAGCGAATTGTGCAAAGCAACAAAAATAGTTTATGTCTTTAATTTATAATTTTAATTAATCTGTTATTTATTTATAATTTCGATATTGAGACAGTCGAAGACCGTGCCGTGGAGTTATGTTTAAAAGGGATATTAACGCAAATCTGACAACTTTAATTAAAAGAGTCATCAAAAATTTCTGTATAATTTCGGTCATGAGCGTACATGATACATGATGACAAATATGTTTTGAAATATGTTGTGAACTAAAGCAGGCCATTCTTAAATTTTTTTCATTTTATATTTGCTTTCGCGTTTTATAATTGCTAATCTGTAGAGATTCATCGGAAGCAAATAGAGTATTTTTGTACCCTTGACGACATTGAAGATGAGCATCAGGGTATACTGTTTTTGTGAAGATGTATTCACACATACGGACAGATAGTCAGACAGACAGGTCTAAATCAACTTGGTTTTTGCCCTAATGAAGAATATATATACATATATTCGAGCAGTCCTTACCAGAGCTTTCATAGCTGTTAACGTTGTCGTTGACGCTATTGTCGTTATGACAACAAGTTTTTACGTTTGTTTGGAAATTTTGCATTATTTATGTACATATATTTAACTACTTGCAACGCTAACCTTTGATGTGCAACATTCTGTCCATTTATTTTATTTAAATATGTCGATCTTAAAGTCATTAAACGATTACATACGGAAAAGTTACGTTCTACGATGTATTCTATATTTCCAAATAATTTTATGAAGCTCATAAGCACACTAACTATTCTACTCTTGTTAATTCTGCAGAGCATTATATGTAGTGTAAACTTGAAATTTGGTTAGGTATAGCACACGCAGATTTAGTTAATTTCGATCAAATAGATGTGTTTTTAATGTTATCGATTAAAAAAATTTACTTACAATATTTTATTTCGTTCCTACGTGTTTTATGTATAATATACAATTCTAATTTAGGTTATTGGGGAATATGTTAAAGAATTTGCATGTTTAAAAACTTTAAATATATTCAATGAAATATGTGGATTGAATGTTGTTTATCTTTTAATACCCTGAACCCATTTTCAATGGGAAATCAGGGTATAATGGTCTTGTTGAAATGTATGTAACAGGCAGAAGGAGGCGTGGCAGACCCCACAAAGTATATATATTCTTGATTAGGGCGACGAGCTGAGTAGATTTGGCCCTGTCCGTCGGTCTGTCTGTCTGTCGATCCGTCCGTCTGTCCGTATGTTTCAACGCGTCGACTTCAGAAGATATATGAGCTAGAGACTTCAACATTTTTTTAAAATGTCCGTATATACAGCGCGGATATCGAGGAAAAATCGATAACGCATCCCGTTATTTTTTATCGATAAAAACCTTATCGAAAATCAATTTAAAAATTATATCTCCTATATCTTTAAAGCTAGAGTCTCCAAAATTTAAATGTATATTTATATGCATTTTATTCAATTTCAATTATTGTTAAAATTTACCCCACACCCGATTACGATTACGTCGTAAAAGACGTATTTCATGTACTAGACACTTGTGCTTTGGCAAATACATGCATGTCTATTTTATATTCATAAGTTTCATGAAGTTTCCATCCACAAGAGAATTTATTAAACAATTAAGTTCCCATAGTAAGCCCACACTGCAGCCCATGCGTGTTTATGCGTGCGTGTGTATGGCTGTGTGTGCGCGTGTGTGTGTGCATGTGCGAATAATTATTGGAATATCAGTTGCTCGAAGGGTTCAGGGGATCTCGTAGTCGAGCACTCTCGACTAGAGCTTTCTTACTTGTTATTATTGACAAACAGGCTATTGAATTTTAAAATGCTTATTTTAATAAAACGTTAGCACTATCTTTAATCGAAAAATTGTATGAGGACATTTTTATACCCTGAACCCATTGAAAATGGGAAATCAGGGTATAATGGTTTTGTTAAAAGTATGTAATAGGCAGAAGGAGGCGTGGCAGACCCCATAAAGTATAAATATTCCTGATCAGGGCGACGAGTTGAGTGGATTTAGCTCTGTCCGTCTGTCCGTATGCTTGAACGCATCGATCTCAGAAGATATAAGAACTAGAGAGTTGAAATATTTTTCTAGGTCCGTGTATAGCACGGGCATATTGAGTTTTGCTTCAAATATCGATAACTTTCCCTGTTATTTTTTATCGATTAAAAACATCGAAAACCAGTAATAAATTTATATCTCCTACATCTTTAAAGCTAGAGTCACAAAATTTTTAAAGTAGATTCATATGTTGTTTATAGAAATTCGATTTTCGTCAAAATTTACCCCCCGCCTCTAATTCACCCCCTCACCGTTCGATTTGTAAAAAGAGTGTTTCAAATACTAGAGGCTTGTGCTTTGGCAAATACATGCATATCTATGTTATATTCATAATCTGAAAGTTTCATGAAGATAGTCCACCACAAGAAAAGTTATGAAACAATTAAATTCCCATAGTAAGCCAACACTGCAGCCAATGCGTGTTTATGCGTCCGTGCGTATGGCTGTGCGTGCGCGTGTGTGTGGGCATGTGTGAATAATTATTGAAATATGTATCTATTGCTCGAAGGGTGCAGAGGATCTCGTAGTCGGGCAGTCTCGACTACAACTTTCTTGCCTGTTTTTATACCCTGAACCCATTTTCAATGGGAAATCAGGGTATAATGGTTTTGTTAAATGTATGTAACAGGCAGAAGGAGGCGTGGCAGACCCCACAAAGTATATATATTTTTGATCAGGGCGACGAGCTTAGTCGATTTGGCCCTGTCCGTCTGTCTGTCCGTCCGTCTGTCTATCTGTCCGTCCGTGCGTCCGTCCGTATGTATGAACGTGTCGATCTCAGAAGATATAAGAGCTAGAGACTTGAAATTTTTTTATTTCTAGGTCCGTGTATATCACGCGCATATCAAGTTTTTCTTTATATATCGATAACTACTCCCGATATTTTATTATCGATCAAAAACCTTATCGAAAGCTCGTTATTTAATTATATCTCCTACACCTTTAGAGATAGAGCTTGCAAATTTTAAATGTAGACTTATATGTATTTTATATAATTTCGATTTTTGTTGTAATTTATCCCCCACCCCTATATCCACACCCTCACCCTCACCTTTGTAAAAAGCGTATTTCAAGTACTAGAGACATGTGCTTTGGAATGGACATACATTTTCACCATATAATTACGCCTTTCATTAAGATTGTACGTATAACAATTTAAATATTCAACAAATAAATTCTTACAATGTTACCTATACTACAGCGCAGCCCAAGCGCAGTTAGTAGAGCGCATTCTAATACGTGTGTGTGTATGTATGTGTGTCGAAAAGAAGTGCAGACTGATTAGAATATCAGATTAGAGGGTTCAGGGTATCTCCTAGTCGAGCAGTCTCGACTAGAGTCTTCTTACTTGTTTTTTTTTTGTGTGTGTTATTCAACACAAGTGCATATAAACACATACACCATATTAGTAGTAGTACTGTTGGATAAGTTCAATATTTTGGAAACAATTTGAAGCAAATATTAAGGTTAATATATGTATATACATATACATACATACATACACACTTCGACTAGAGTGTTTTCACTTGCCAATTAAACGAATTTACATAAATCTTTTGGATTAATAGCTTGAGTTGGGGAAGTCCTCGCACTTAAACAGTAGCCCATTCGTCAAGTTTGTCAAACTTGATGTGTACGCAGGGTATCTTTCAGTCGGATACACAAGGCTAAAAACTCTTCTACTTGTTATTACAAATATTTTTATTATATTCAATGTCTTTTTTTAAATGCGAGCCAAAAGTTTCTGCCACAGCAAATGCAAAGCTTCGCAATATACGATTGTTAAGGAGGCTGAATACTACATAAAAGCTTTGCGACTATGTTGTTGCTTCTGTTTTTTTGGTGCAAAATATAATATTCACTGGTATTGCTGCCGCCAGCACCTCTAATTTTCTTTGCCCCATGCTATGATTGGGCGCCGAGTGGCGAGCGGTCAGCTATTGGCGTCGACTGTAGGCCAATAAAAGACTTAGTTTAATTGGTCTTTGGTTTTAGTCAAAAACAAATTGCGCGAGTTGTTACGACGGGCCAGAACACGTTTAAAGTTTATCGGATAATCATACGAAGAAGCTCGACTTTTATAAATTGAAAGCCGCTAAACGAGAATGAATAACTGTGACTAAATAACATAAAAATTTATGAGTACCATTTGTGACTAGTCTTTCTTAGGTAACCATAGTAAAATTACACCTGTATATAAATCAAAATATTAACTGCATATGAGCATTTTAAATTTCACAAAATGTAGCTAATGAAATTAAGCTAAAGAAATACAAAAATACCTGGTATTTGTTTCAAAACAAATAAACAAAATGTAAAAATAGATTTTTAATCATTTTTGGGTGAGATTTCATTGAGTTGAATATGTATACATACATATATATATATATATATATATATATATATATATACATATATATGTATAGATACTGCGCGTCATCAGGTTACCGCCCGCCTTTACAGTCAATCTCAAAGCTGAATAAAGGCTAAACCATCAGAGCTTTATCTTTAAATTTGTTTATACCCTAAACCCATTTTCAATGGGAAATAAGGGTATAATGGTTTTGTTGAAATGTATGTAACAGGCAGAAGGAGGCGTTGCAGACCCCACAAAGTATATATATTCTTGATCAGGGCGACGAGCTGAGTCGATTTGGCCCTGTCCGTCTGTCTGTCTGTCCGTCCGTCCGTCCATCCGTCTGTCCGTATGTTTGAACGCGCCGATTTCAGAAAATATAAGAGCTAGAGACTTCAATTTTTTTTTAAATGTCCGTACTTACAGCGCGGATATCGAGTTTATCACTAAAAATCGATAACTCATCCCGTTCTTTTTATCGATAACCAGTTATGAAATTATATCTCCTACACCCTTATTTCTAGAGTCTCCAAATTTTTGATGTATGCTTATATGCAATTTATACAATTTCGGTTTTTGATAAAATTTACTCCCCACCCTTATATCCACCCCCTCACCATCACTTTTGTAAAAAAACGTATTTCAAATACTAGAGACATGTGCTTTGGCAAATACATGCATATTCATGTTATAATCATAATCTGAAAGTTGCATGAAGATCGTATGTCCAAAAAAAAAAAAGTTATTAAACAATTATGTTCTCATAGTAAGCGTACACTGCAGCCCATGCGTGTTTATGCTTGTGTGTATGTGTTTGTGTATGTAAATGTTTGTGTATGTGTGTGTGTGTATGTGTGTGTATGAGTGTGTGTGTGTATGTATGCCTATGTGTGCGTGCGTGTGTGTGTGTGTGCGTGCGTGTTTCTTGTGTAAGTAGAAAGACACGAAAAGTGATTGAAATAGCTTTTGCTCGAAGGGTTCATGGGATCTCGTAGTCGGGCAGTCTCGACTAGGGCTTTCTTACTTGTTTTATTATTATACCCTGAACCCATTTTCAATGGGAAATCAGGGTATAATGGTTTTGTTTTATTATACTACATCTATTTCTCTGTAAAATAAAAAAAACAATGGCTACTGTAGCAATAGGGAATAATTTTGTAATAATTATACTCATTCACGAAAGTGAATTAGTATATTGGTTTCGTGCAATGTCCGTCTTGCTGTCCGTCCGTCTGTCCGTCTGTCCGTATGAACGTATGGAACACATACTCGTGTATATCTCCGATTTATAAAGTGTTAAAATTTTCCCGATCCGCCCACTAGGGGCGTGGCAAATCGGAAAATGCATTTTCCGATATACCAGAAAGCATGTTCGTTGAAGAGCAAGAAAGCTGAAATTTGGTATGTAGGTCCGCGTCGACCACCCAAGATCACGAGCTATGGCGGATATATCTCCGCCCATTGGGGGCGTGGCAAATCGGATAAAACTGTATCTTCAAGAGTTTTACAGCTAGAGCGCTGAAATTTTGCACGTCAGCTAATGTTATGATTCTATAGAGCCTAATGACAAAAATGTATGTCTACGCCCATTGGGGGCGTGGCAAATCGGACCTGAAGATATAGTGATTTTTTAAATTCTGCTATATTTAGGACACTATTGATGCCAGAGACCTCAAATTTTGTACATATACTTGGGCTGACCATCCAAGACCAAAAAGTTTTGTCGGATATATGTCCGCCCACAGGAGGCGTGGCAAACCGCAAAAGTTGATAACTCCTAAAGTATAATAGCTAGAAGATAGTTAGATAGATAGTTAAGTTACCAGTAACCTCGTCTATCGATGACCGCAAAAATAATTTTTACGCCTCTTTAGGGGCGTGGCATATCGAAAAATACCCTGTTATTTTCACATTTTTTGAGGGTAAACATTCAAACTTTATAGTTAGGGTACCGTTATCGCGTTCTAAGATCGGAAAAAACTGTATTTTCTACAGTATTAGAGCGAAACTGAACTACTAAATTGTTGATTGGATGTGAATGAGTATTCTGCAGTCGGTAACGCCCGACTGCAACGTTCTTACTTGTTTTTTTTTTTGTAAAATGTACAAAACAAATGTAACAAAAATTTGGTTATCAGATTAGAGCCCCCTGCGATAAATTCAATTTATTTAAGCTAATGACAAAAATAACACCTGTATATTAAGCTATTATTATTTTAAAGTAATATTAGTAGTGCGTAGTGCCTTTTTAATACCCTGAACCCATTTTCAATGGGAAATCAGGGTATAATGGTTTTGTTGAAATGTATGTAACAGGCAGAAGGAGGCGTGGCAGACCCCACAAAGTATATATATTCTTGATCAGGGCGACGAGCTGAGTTGATTTGGCCCTGTCCGTCTGTCTGTCTGTCTGTCCGTCTGTCCGTCTGTCCGTATGTATGAACGCGTCGATTTCAGAAGATATAAGAGCTAGAGACTTCAAATTTTTTTTAAATGTCCGTAATTACAGCGCGCATATCAAGTTTATCATTAAAAATCGATAACTCATCCCGATCTTTTTTTATCGATAAAAAACCTTATCGAAAACCAGTTATAAAATTATATCTTCTACACCTTTATTGCTAGTCTCTTAAATTTTTAATGTATGCTTATATGCAATTTATACAATTTCGGTTTTTGTTAAAATTTACCGCCCACCCTTAAATTCACCCCCTCACCCTCACTTTTGTAAAAAGCGTATTTCAAATACTAGAGACTTGTGCTTTGGCAATTACATGCATATCCATGTTATAATCGTAATCTAAAAGTTTCACAAAAAAAGTTTCCACAAAAAAAGTTATTAAGCAGTTAAGTTCTCATAGTAAGCGCTCACTGCAGCCCATGCGTGTTTATGCTTGTGTGTGTATATGTATGTAAATGTTTGTGTATGTGTGTGTGTGTGTGTGTGTGTGTGTGTGTGTGTGTGTGTGTGTGTGTGTGTGTGTGTGTGTGTGTGTGTGTGTGTGTGTGTGTATGTATGCCTGTGTGTGCGTGCGTGTGTGTGTGTGTGTGTGTGTGTGTGTTTTTCTTGTGTAAGCTGAAAGACGCGAAAAATTATTGAAATAGCTATTACTCCAAGGGTTCAGGGGATCTCGTAGTCGAGTAGTCTCGACTAGAGCTTTCTTACTTGCTTTTTTTTTTAAATTACTTCAAAAATTCGATTAGCAATGGAATTATAGAGTTGTTCAATATTATTCAAGGATATGGTTGACCAAGCGTGTTCAGTACCTTCGATTACCTCTGTCTTTGTACTATAATGCTTTCCGGACTCATATACTTTCCTGACCAACCATCCCCAGCCTTTTTCAATGATATTAAGATCGAATAAAAACATTCAAGTTCAAGTCAGATGCCACTACGGCTAATTGTGAATGATTTTTCATTTTTTTTAATTTCTCAAATATTCAATATAATATGTAGATCATATGCTGAAAGTTTCATTAAAATCCTTTAAGTCAAAAGTTAATTAAAAATCATCAAATATTTCAATTAACAAACGCACATGCAGCAGCTACAACAGCACCGTATACATGTGCACACATACATTCAAACTTCTTCTGGAACATTCTTTGAATCACTTCAGCTATTAGTTTGGTTTAGTTTTGGTAGATGGCGCTGCAGCAGTGAATCTATTTCAGTTTTGCCAAAGCGGATTCCGAAAGTGAGGTGGCGTGAGTAGCTGCGTGACGCTCGATCGAGAAGTCGCGAGTTCGAATCCCGATCGGTGCAACTTATGTTAATTTTTTTAATTGTTTCAAAATATTTTTATATTTTATTAAGTGAGTTTTGTATTTCATTTATATTTTTAAATACATCGAAATTGAAATTTTGGCCATAGTAAATGGGCATTTTTATTAGTTGGGTTCAGGGCAGTATCTAGTCGAACACTCTCGACTAAAGTTTTCTTACTTGTTTTTTGTACATTTTCCAAAAAAAAATTTTTTTAATGATTCCCTATTGTTACAGTAGCCATTGTTTTTTTTATTTTAAAGATAAATAGATGTAGTATAATAAAAAAAAATTTTAAGATGAAGCTCTGATGGTTTAGCTTATATTCAGCTTTGAGATTGAGTGTAACCTGATGACGCGCAGTGTATATACATATATATATATATATATATATATATATATATTTATTTTCTATTTTGTATAATATGATAAATACCCTATCCTATTTAAGCAATTTTATGTTTTCTTAAAAAAAAGCGCTTCAAGACTTAACAAATTGTTACAAACTTTAAGAATCTTGTTGTGCCAATAATTTAGTTCGTCACTGTATATTCATTGTATTGTGTAGTATTGTTTTCACAGTATTGACCTCACTCTAAAGTTTTAAACGTTGGCAAGGAAAGCAATGCCATTGCAAAAGTGGCCAAGTTCCTAAATTTTTTATTTCCTCCCGAATCATTAGAAACACGCCTCTCAATCCAAAACTTTGTAGGGTATTGAGTATTTTCTCACTGAATTGGGTGAATATATTTATACCCTGAACCCATTGAAAATGGGAAATCGGACAGAAGGAATCATCGCAGACCCCATAAAGTATATATATTCTTGATCAGCACGACGAGCTGAGTCGATATATGAAATTTGACATGCATACTCGTGTTTATCATACGCAGTGCAAGTTTATCATATTTTTGCGATAACTCATCCGATAACTTTTTAATCTAGAATAATCGAAAAATTGATTTTGTTTTTTCGGCCTAATTTGATTTACTGTGTATATACAGTATCGATACGAAGATTTTGTAATTTACAGATTTTGGATACC